AGACAGATAGATGAAAAGACTTGCCCGAAGTCACACAGCTGACATCCAATGTAGCACAATTTTTTAAAAATATCACATGGTGACAAATGGAGCACGATTCTCGTGGGGCTGGAGGACAATTCAAGCAACATTTTTGAAGCACCTATTTTGTACAAGGCACCTTACCAGATGTTACTGAAGGTACAAAGATCGATGAGACAGTGCTTATGAAAGTCCTGTGAGGTCATGTTTCAATATCTTTCTTGGCAGAAAATAACACAGACCAGGGCTAAGGTTGCTGGTGATAATTAGGTAGCTGCTGCCCAGGAGAGCTGATCTCACAAGTGACACTCTTCCTTTCACTATCAGAGCTCGAGCCTGTTACAGCTGTTGGAGCCATAAAGACAGTTTTCTCTCCTAGGCCTTCATTCACGCCTCAAGTCATAGTCTCACCCTGAGTGGTGACAGAGCTGACAGAAGGGCAGCAGTGCCCCAAATCCTCCCTTCAATTCTTAATCACTGTTTGCTTCCCCTTTATGTCCAGCATTAGGCTCTCTGCAAGAGTCCTGACCATGTCCCAAGGAATGTCAGAGTGACCCACACAAACACCCTAGCACACACATCACTGGCATATAACACCCACTGCTCCCATCAACCACCTCTCTTGCCTCTATGTAGAAAGTAAAGTGATACCAGTCCCCTACATCACACTCACGCTTCAATTCCCCATACTCAAAAAAATGTCAAGATGTAATTGTTAGTCAGAAGAAGGGAAAACAGATTCAAGAGGCAGTGGAAAACATTAGTGACTAGATATAAAAATGATCTCCTACTTTTGTATAGCCCTTTCAAGTGTAGTATTTTCATCCCATTATCTGATTCTGTTCTTACCACAACTCTGTGAGGTAGTTAGTGAAGATATTATTCCCATTATAATATAGCTGAAAAACCTTAGGCTTGAGAGACTAAGTGGCCTGCCCCAGAGTCACCCAGCTAAGGAAGTTGGAGCCAAGTGTCCAGGTTTCTTGACTCTGAATCCAGTGCTCTTCCCCCTATATAGTCTATAATTGGCAGGCAATTGAATGAATTGCCCATGATCATACACCTGCTAAGTGTTGGTGATGGGATTAGGAGTCAGTCTCCAAATCTGTTAGTATGGTGCCCTTCCACCATACCATTTAGCAGAGCCAATGTGCTCAGAATGACTACCGTGGAAGATATCAGAGAAAAGTCTAGTGTCCCTCACCCTCCTCCAAGTCAATGATGCATTACAAAACTGGGATAACCTCTGGTACATGCACAGCCTTCCTAGAACAGTACCTTGGACCTCCTCCTCCATCTATCTACCGAATGTTCAATCATTGCTCTTATGGGCAGATGGGAAAGAGGTAAGCTCAGCAGAGCTTACGTCTGCCCTTAAGTAAATTAAAACCTTTAATTTCTATCTTCCTTCCCCACCTCACTCAGCCTCTTCACTTTACTAAACTCCTGAACCACAAAATGAAATCCAATCTGATTTAGAGTTGGCAGCAAAAAAAACAGCGAATCCATCCTGAGTTCTACGTACTTTTCTCTCTCTAGCTTGTTACCGGAAGGCCTGGCCATGTGATTTCCATCCAGAGTTTTCAGCCCGAAGCTTCCAATCATTCCCACACCTTTCCTTCGCAGGTGTTTCAATCCTTTAGCTTTGAGGATAGCATGGTGAGGGATGGGAGTTTTGAAATAAGGAGCAAAAAGAAAAAACTGCTCCTGGAAGGCAAAGCTTAAACATTTCATCCCAGTTCTTGGCTCATTGAAATGAAAGTAGCCATTACCATTATTATTAATGTGAGAGTAAAGAGGCTTCAGGATCATGTCTAAAAACCCAATTCCAAGAAAAAATTCCACTGCATACAGGTGACATACCACAGAACCCGGTATTCACAACTTACTGCCCCTACCTATCTTTGCTGATGCTTGCACTAAAGATGGTATCCGTTTTGCAAAAAGGCACTCTACCCTCCAAATCCAGAAACACGTACCAAATGATATCAATCTAGAGTTGTTTTACTTCCTCTGTCTTCTTCAGTGTCTAGGAGAGAGCTAATTACAGCACATCCATGAAAAAAGGAGCTATCTACCAACTCCTTTGTAAATTTAAAGGGCTATCTTACACTTAAAGCATGCTGATGCTTAATGCCGGTTTCAGGTTTGAGTGTCTGAAACATTCTCATGGCAGTTATTCAGAGCACACTGGTTTCTCTGATGCTGGTGCCCTGCCAGGGGAAACAATTCTGTCTGGAAGAGAAGCTGCTATTGTTCCTATCTGGTGTGCCAGGCTTCCCTTAGGGAAATTGTTTTGAAGAGTATAGGCATTGGGATGATAGTTTTGCAATGAAGATGGGCTTTTATTGTACTATGAACTACATGCTCTAAGATGGGTGAGCTCCATGTGCCTCCAGGTTAGTGATTCTCTACCTAACCCAGGCCCAAAGCAACTCTGAGAGGGATAAGGGAAAAGTGACTGGGAGAAGCATCTCCCTTCAATTAGTTGTCCAGCTTTAGCCAAATAGCTTTTTGTAGTATTTGGTAATCTTTATATACAAAATATTTATATACAGTATATACCACACAGATGGAAAGAAGGGGCTGAATCATGAAAGAGCTTCTCCTTATGCACTTTAGGCATATGGAGAGATCTGGTACTAAAACAATGAAATGATTTCTAGGCTTTTAATATTTATTCTCTAAGGGTTATTGTCCATACATACTGTGAAATTTGATGATTGGTGACCTAAACTGCAAATTCCAGGGAGTGATTTCACGTTAAGCTAGGCCTGCAGCAACTCTAAAAAGGATAAGGGACGTGGGCCTGAGGAGAAAGCATCTCCTTCCAATCAGTTGTCCAAATGTAGCCAAATATCTACTTAGATATTTAGATATTTGGTGATACACACACACACACACACACACACACACACACACACACACACACAGACACGTACACACAATTTATTTACATTAGGCTGCACCAAGACGAAAGGAAAGGATTTAATCATATTGATGAGGATGCAACAGCTCCCATTACAATACACTTCTGTAAGGTGGGGAGATTGGTGCTGGACTAACTGATTGCCAGACTTTCAAAATTTCTCACTTAAAAGTCATCTTCCATACATGCTTTCAAATGAGCCTGCAAGTCCAGGAGAGCGATTTTACACTTAACATGGGCCTGTACAAATCTGAAAGGGGAAGAAGTGGTCCGGACAATCAGCTGTCCGGATGTTGCCAAAGATCTCAATATAATATGTGGCAAAATGAATACATATAAAAATATTTTATATATATTATGCCCCACCATGATGGATGGTAAGGGATTAATTATGCTCATAATCATGAAAGAGCTTCTACTTACACACTTTGGGCATATAGGGAGATGAAGTCCTAGGCTAGTTAAATGATAAAATGTAAGTATATCTTCCAATAGTTATCTTTAATGTGTGAATACTCATGGAAATGTCACCTTTCGAGCTATTTTTAAAACACAGGTAATAATGAGATAAACTAATTGGCAATAAATATTTGATTTCATAGACTCTATTACATGTGACCCAACTATTGTACAAGCTGAAACAGTGCTCAATTTTGATAATATCCCATTATCTTGCTTTAATACTATCAAGAACTATAGCACAGTCATCATCAAATTCTGATTTTTTTTTCTTGCTTTCTGTCAGGTTATGTCAGAAACTGCTTTAGCTCCCAGTCTACAGCACACTGAGGCTGCAGTGTACACTCTATAGGACCCAAGATTTCTTAGGGGGGTAAGTAAGAAAGAGAGTAAATGAGAAAAGAAAGGAAAAAGCTGAGGGGCATGCCAGGGATTCCACACAAGTATATCCAACAAATCTAAAGTGATAGGAGAGAGACATGGAAGAGAAATTCCTTCCCTTTGGCAACATGGTAACAAAGCATACCTATACAGAAAAACAAATGTTTCATTTTACTCAGTAATATGCTGACGAATGGTTATCAAGAGCAATTTAGGAGGAAAAATAGCCCTGATATGTAACACTTACTAATTTCCATTGTATAAATACTTCCACCATGGCCAATTTCAAACCACCACCAAGAAGTACCAAACTTCTGAGTTAGGGAGAACTACTGAGTTGGGAAGAGATGTAAATAGCATACCATTATATCGTATGTCTGCTATATAGACACAGTAGATGCAAATAGTCTGAAGAGAATAGAAAATAGCAAATGTATTTTTGAGTACTACTTTTGTTTTTAATATAACTTATTTAATTGTAAGCACATGGCATTTAATTTTTAATAATGGCTGTGTTTAACAACCAGTTTGCATAATTCTTGAAAATTTAATCATCAGTAAGCCCGTATTAGTCAGCTCCAACATACCATACCTAAGAGGGTAAGAGAGAAGGAAAAATCAGAATGAAAACCACCAAATACTATTTACCAATTTTTTTTTTGTATAATAGGGAGATGTAGAAAAAACTAAAGGATCTTTAGGGTTTTCAAAATGTCAAAATGTTCTGTTCATTATCCCCACAAAAAATCTAAAATATTCTTAAGAAAATGAGATGTTTCAAAGGATTTTAGAAATACAGATGTGAGTACTTATGAAGGTAAATGTCCAATTTTATAAAGGCTATCTATCTTAAACAGTTTCAATGTGCTTTACAAGCTAACTAGAATAATATATGAATTATTTTACCATTAACTTGTTTTACTGCTATCAAGCAAAACTCAGGAACACTCAATTACTAAACAAATTCTGGATTGGGCCCACCTTCTGCAAGAGTCAGCAATCTCTTTAGCTCCAGATGTTATCGCACAAGGGATGTCACCTTTACAATGCTCAGAATTAGAGAGAAAAGAAAAAAAGAGAATGAATTGGAAGGAAGGGAGGCTCCGGAGAAGGGAGTAAGAGATGGAGATATAATTGGCACACCTGTCAGAGTGCCAATTATCGCCTTGGGCACTAACAGTTATCAAAGACGTGAGCTTGAGCCAAAGGCTGCAGTCAGCAGTCACTTGTTTCTTTATTTTAGCATTGCACGGTTGTACTGCTAAATTAAGATTGATGCATAGTACCATGTAATCATCTCAGTACTTTCACATGTCTAGTTCTGGAGAAGACAAACATCTGGATAAGTGATAATTCACATTTTTTCCTGATGTTTGCAAATGTCTGGATGGATCATGCCATGTAGACAAAAATCTGTATAATTAACTTTGATGTTCACATTTCATTCTGTGATCTTGTTATACTAAAGATAAAGCAATAAATGGTTCTAAAATTTGCCAAAATAATGCAATCGTGTTTATCAGACAGTCTTGACTAGGGTGCAATTATTGTTTTACTTAGGAGTGTACTGTTTTAAAAGCTTCTCTCTTACTAAAATTTAAAAATTTCCCATTGTGCCTAATAAGCTTTAAAACAGCTTTGTAAAAAGTTATCCATCAGAGTCATGTTAAAGATTAAATCTATGTTGAATAATAAGTAAAGGTTGGTGTGCTAATTCATTTTATTACTTCTAAGTCTGGCTTGAAGCTATTTTTGTGGGTAAATAAACACTTTATACTTATTTGCTAGGACTGTGTTAAAGTATCATATAATGTCTTGCTTTTATGAAGATGATACCACTGATTGCTGATCAGTGAGGCATATGCATTTAGTAATATTTCCGGAACTAAGAGAGAATTTGTTCTAAGTTGGTCACATTTTCTTACCCAGTGAAAGATTGGCAATACTAACTTCTTATGTGGTCAGTAGAACACTTCTGCTGTATTTAGCCTAACTCAAAGCTGTGCATGTAAACAGAGATAGGCCTCTATCATAATCATAGTTACAAACACACTTAAATACTCAATTCCTTTCAGTGGTTAAAAAACAAATTCACGTAAGAAAGCAAGAAAATCCAATATGGAAGCAGTTAAATCATTTTTGATTGTTGTCACCTACTAACATTTGCGTAAGTCCACTAATGCAAGTTGCCAGATGTGCCCATGAGCAAATAAAACAACTGTATATATTAAAAAATCCAAGATAAATAAGTAGTGCTAAAAAAGGATAACAAATTATTAGTCATGTGGCTAACTGAAATGAACAACCTTTGATAAAATGGTACCGATGAGGAAGGAGGAAAGTTTTCATTTGTTTTTAAATGGCTGCCATGGTGAAACTTCGTCTCTTGTTGTAGAAATTTACCTTCGGTCTGCTTCAACTCGCTTTTTACGAACTAGGTAAGAAAGAAGGAAAGGTTAAAAAGACAAAGCGAAGGAATATTCCTTAAATTTCAGATAACATTAATCACACCGAATAGTAATCCCACACACTTGAGGATACAATTATCTTAAATTTCAACATTCAATTACCCATGGCAATAAGTGGAAATGAGAATAATCCAGTGTCTTGTGGGATTCACATTTAAATAAAGCTATGCCTGACAGCTGAGAATTTGAATGTTAGAACTTTCCCATCTATGGAGTAAAAGGTCCAGAATAGATCCACAAAATAGTGAACTTCTAAATATTTTCATGGTCATCTATCCACAGCACATCTTTTCAGTTTGTGCAACTCAATCACCAACCAGCTTTAACTAATACCCCAGGATGACATTCACAATCTATTAATTTTGATTATGGCTTGAAGACCAGGAGGATCCACAACCATAAGTTCAAAGTTTCTAAACCTGTTTAAATAAAATATTCTAAGTATCAACCTTCAAGGAAGGTGTGATTCAGATGGCAAGCAAACTCAGACTGGTTCTTGGTATCAAAGAAGTTGCCCAGCTGCCCATTGTTTCTGCAGCCCTCTTCTCTCTTTCATCTCCCCAACTGCAGACTCTTCCGGTGGGTAAGGGAGGGCTCATCCAACCTTCCTAGATTTGGTGAAAATAGTGCCCTGGTTGTGGTCCTGCCCCAACTCTCCACTTTAAATAGCCCAGCCTACTCCTGCCTACTCTGCAGAAAATTTGACCAAAGCTGTTGCCCACAGCTGCTGCTCCTGGGTTTAAGATCGCCTCTCTGTTTACTTTAAACCTGTTGTTTTGCCTATTTTTCTGTGGTTTCCTTGCTGTTCAGCTGTAGGCCCCATATGCTCTTCTTAGGCATCTTCTGATTACTGCCTCCTCCCTTCCCTAAAACCGTGTTTCCTGGCTTGCCTCACCTTTTGTGTCTCAAGGACAAGCACTGCCATATGCTTGGGTGCCATACACTGCACTTTGGCTGGGTCTCAGGGTCTTGGCTAAGCATGTGTGAGGAAGAAACTGGACACTAACCATTACCTGCTGCCTTCCGGTTATAGCCTTTAGCTTCTACCTTGTCCACTACCTGAATTCTCTCCACGGCCAGTACAATACTTGGTGGAACACCTTGCCCAGTTCCCCTGTCCAAAGTCAAGCATTCTGTCCCTGAACCTCAAACTGGGGACTGAGGCCTGCGAATGGCTGACTGCTTGCCAAGTGGACTGACTGCCTGCACCTGGCTGTCCTTTTGCCATGCTGCTTCAGGTGGCTGGTATGTCCTCAGACCAAGCTTTCCCAGTATGTCCCATTCTCCTGTGCTGTGGCTGACCACCTCATTCTGACAGGAGAAGAAAAAAGAATAAAAAAGCCAGATCCTCAGCAACAGTGGGCAGCAGGAAAGATTAAAGAGAGGCTTACTGAAAAAGCTACTTCTGAGTTACCTTCATAACATAGCTCCATTAGTTCATTTCACATGTAAATCACCAAAACATCAGACATATCCATATTTAAATCCAAGTACAAAAGCACAGTCAGGGATCAATCATAAGTGAACTAAGAATTTCCATGTCATTGTGTTCATCTTCTGGTGAGGGTGATTACATGAAAGAAGTAAGTAAAGGAGAAGCAAATACATAAAGGAAATCAAGCAAAAATCAAAGGCTGTCTAGAAAAAAGAACAAACAGTTCTTCTTGAGAGAATGCTACAATAAAACTTAAACACTGTGAAATCGATGAGGATTCCTATGACCATGTTAATAGTGTGCCTTTGATTAAGGGTTGACACTAAAGCCAGAGGAATGGTGAGCTGTTATATCTGAAGTGGAGAAATGAATGGTCACTGTGATCTTCTAATTACTAATGGCACATATTATGGCCGCATTACCCAGGTCATTATTCTTTGTGATGGCAGCTGCCACCCTTGTTCGTGGCCCTTGCTTGGTAAACTGATATCCAAACTTGAGGATCCTTGAATTCTCCTCCAGCATCTGAGCAATTTCCATCTCTACGGCTGTTCCCAACTGTTGTCTCTGGTTGCAGGTGCAGACACATAATAGGATGACCAAGAAGAAAGAGCAAACAGTTACTTGTGTGGGAAAGATGCATAGCTACTTGTTGGATAAAAAAAAGCAAACAGACAAAAGTGTCCAACTGAATGGGGCAAAGTCTCTTGAGATATTTTCTCCCATGCAGTCATTTGCTTCTTGTCTAGAAGCAAAACCCAACAGATAGCCAAATCTGCTGGCATGTTTATCTGAAAAGATGAAATCAATTATTTACAAAGGAAACAATAATTCTAGATGTAAAATTAAAGCAAAACAATTATTTGGTGTTTCCAAAAATAATCAAAGATCATCAACTGATGGACCATTCTCTTTTGGTAGAGTCTCACTAGGAGATCCCTAAGATGCTTTATTGTGGTTCAAACCATAGCCAGGTCAATTCTCAAAAACTAAGGGTTATTGGGCTACAGAAAAATCCCCAGGTTTTTTAAGTTTGTGAAAAGAGGTTTTTTGTTCTTTTGAGATACAGAATAATAAAAATATTAAAAGTAGAGTTTAAAAAAATGGCAGCATGTAAAAATAGGAATTTAAAATTGGGGTTAAAGGACATAGTATGTATTTTCATAATATGCTCACTAAATTTTTTAAAGTAAAAAAGTACAGGCTTGTGCAGAAAAAGCAAACAAAAAAATTTATTTAGCAGTTACCTATCTATTTCATTAATATGCGTCACCAATTGTTCTTCTCATAGGGCACCTGATTAAATCATTACATATTTACTTGGAGCCCAGCTACAGCCACCTGCCCCAGTGGTGGCCTCTCAACAGGCCTTCCTTCTGGTGCAGCTGCCTGTTGCAACATGCTAAATTGATCTCAGTTGCCGGTCCCGTCTGAGGAAACTGTCTTATAGATTATTTTACTTCCAACCCTTCATTAGACAGATCAGGAAACTGAGATTTACCTTTAATAGTCTTTGAGTCAATGAACAAAATTGTGGTTGGAACTCAAGTTTTGACTCTGCATTTCCTCATTCTTGGCATAATGCAAAGAATTTTTCCAGGTGCTTTAGAACTTAATCCTCTCTCGTCACGAGAGAAGCCATTTCAGAGGCATATTGGGGGACTAAATTTGAAAAATTACACAAATCTATTCTTAGATGATTGAAGAGAGGTGATAAAGTTGAAGATTTAGAGGGGATTTAAGAGAGCAAGTTCAGACTTTGTATTTCAGGGTCTGCTTCACACGCATTATAAAAAGATGCCCTATTCTAAATTATTAGGATTTCAGCTCATTCACTAGGTATGAGGTTATCAGATTAGCAAAATGAAACAAAGCAAAACAAAATAAAACAAAAACCAAAAAACACGATATCCAGTTAAATTTGAATTTCAATAAATAACAAATAATTTTTTAGTATACTCCAAATATTTAATGAGACACACTTATACTAAAAATTAATCATTGCTTATCTGAAATTCAAATTTAACTGTATTTATTTGGCAACCCTAACTAGATGGTATTTTACAAGGAACTAGGAACAGAGTGTCTGGAAAACTGTTTCAGATATGGGGTTTCACTATAGCCTAAACAAAAAGTTCAATATACTTTGGAATAAGGCATATCATGTCTTAGATCTCCTGGAAATATTTACTAAGAGCCCTCGACTTCTTCATGATACTAGTCTATTTGATAAATATCCCTGAGCTATCACTTCTTTTCCCTCACTTCATATTTCTCTCTAGCTTGTTTTCCTGCTCTCCCACTCCCTGATGACTCTTAATTTACTAGCAGCTGGACACACATCAAGATATTAAACACTGAGCTTCCCCTGCATATACACAGAGATTCTGCTGTGCTCTCCCTCCACACCTCTGCACTTAGAAAGCTGTTCTGGTGATGCATCCCTTTTGGGGAGGGTGATAGTGAAGGCTACCTGTATCCTGGTAGGGTTCCCCTGCTGCTCTGGCAATATGCCTCAGGAGGGGTCCAGGGACAGAAGACCTGCACTAAACATCCCACTTGTCCTGGTGAGCAAAAAAGGAAAGTAAAGCTGTTCATGGGGACCTGCTGGGGATCTTCAGGCTTAGGCAAAAGTCTTGGATAGGACCCTGGGGCTTTATTAGACCTTGGAGGGTCTACACTAGGAAATTTCCCAGATATATAGGGGTACTCTCAACAGGCACTTCCTCCCACCATGCCACAGGGGAATGTTCATATAGCAAGTTTCCTTGCTCTCTCCTCTATGGCCTCTTCTTCCCATTATCCAGACCTCTCAGATTCACTGAATCCCACTGCAGACACTTCCCTGTAGCCAAAGGGGCAGGGCTCAGCATCATGCTGGGAACTGAGACTTGCTGTCTGCAGGCAGGCGCCAGCTGAAGCCAGCAGAGCAACTCTGGAGGCACTGCAGGCTGATGCTTGGAAAAAGAGGTCTTCAAGGGACAGGAAGTGGTGGCTCTAGGGAAAAGCAGTTTGCTTTGACTGTTGATGGGAACCTGAGAAATGCTGCAACAGAGCTGAGATTGTGATCCTACTGCAGGTTCGACCTGCTTCTCTAGGCCAAATCATCTTCTAGAACCCAAATTCCTTTAAATGGGCTCTGTTGCTAGCACCAGACTATAGGAGCCTGGTCTGTTCTTTCTTTTAGCTCTGGCCGCCTCCATTCAGGGACAAGAAGTCTGTCTCTGGGCATGGCCACTCTGCTTTCTCCTTGTAGCACAGTCCCAGTGAGAGGCAACAGCAAGGCTGGGGCAAGACTGGGTTGAGATAACTGCTAAGAGGTAACAGTGATGATGGCTGAACAAAGCAGCTGTCACCCTCTGCCCCAACCTCCTCTCTTTCTCCTCTGGTGTCTGACTAGCCCAGGGCTACTGGATAGCTGGCTCTTTATGTCTCAGGCTGCCCCACTGTATGCTGCTTAATTATTAACATCATCTCGCCTACACAGCCCACAGGCCAGAAGCTGTTATAATTTATAAGAAAGCCAGAACATCAAACTGAGTGACAAAGCTTTGTCTTTTACTCACTCCACTGTGGCTTTCCCTCCGTTCATATGTACTCGTGAGGTAGTTTACCTGGTTGTCAATCTTGATCTCGGTCAGGGTGTCATTTTCTCTCAGTGCCTCTACCAGGCCCAGGATCCCAGTTCCAGTTATAAAATTGGATTCTATGTTTAGACTTTTCAACGTCTTGTTTACTTTCAGCATATCTGCAAAAGCCTTATTATGCAAAAAAATAACCATTAAGGTTTCTAAAGGTTTATATTTCCTGAACTCCCCACCCTCAAATTAAATAGATATTTTTAACAGTACTTAAAATCTTAGTTAAAACATATTTTCACCTCCAAGTAACAAAGATAATAATTTAAAACTCAAAAAAAATTGTTTAGTCCAGCAGCCCAGACTTAGAAATTTTACAAACCTGCAAAACTTAAAAAAAAAAAAAAAAAAAGGAAGAAAAAAATATGATACTGACATAGGATTACTAACTTTGTTTTATTAAGTACAAAAAAATCCCACTGCCATCTGTTACCACTGGCGATTTTTTTTTTTTTTTTTTCTTTGAGAAAAGGTATTTTAATCTTAGGAAACGTAGAAAGAACATAAACTCAGAATTATTTTATTTTGTCTCCATTAGGGAACTACTGATTTAGTCATGTTATTTCAGGTCATCTAGAAATCAGAATTCCTCAAAGATTACTTTTGGAACAAAGTCACCCCTCAGAGAGGCAAACCCACTGAAGACTCCCAGTTTAAGTCCACAGACTGTAAACATGCACCTGCCTGTCCCCCTTGCTCCCAAAGTTTTCCACTTCATGAAGAAAAGATAACTTTTAAGTGACTGAAACTTCCACAGTGCAAGATAACAAAAAAGAGGGCCATTATCTTAAAGAATTGCTATAATATAGAAAATAGAAAGATTGTGGAGAAAAAAAGTTGCCTGAGATGCCAAAGTAAGTCCCAACTGCAGTATTTTATTAAAGAACTGCCTTAGGAACAACTAGAGCATGTGGAGAGCACGCTGCCCCTCCCTGCAGCTTCCGAGAAAAAGAGTTAACTGCAGGCACAACTATCAGTAAAAAATCTCCCAGGAGCCTCTAGTGAGGGTGCTAGGATCTAAGATAGAAGCAGTGCAGAAACTGAGGAGCCTCTAGACCACTACCAGATACAGTGTGGTGGAAGGAGGGGAGAGGCAGCTATGCCAAGGAATAAAATATACTGAACTCCCACTTCCCAGAGTGAAACCCTCCTAACAGCAGCCATTGCAGGGACTCCCAGGCTGCCTGCCAGCTCCTCATATACACACAACAGAGAAGGCTGCTGGTCAATTCGCCTGCTTACTTACGAGAGCACTCATTCATTACGAGAGCACTCATTTGTTGGTCTTCTACTGTGTGCCAGCAGTAAAGAAATAAAAAATTCTTGTCCTGGGGAGCTTATATTTGAGGAGGGCAGAATCAATAATTAATTAAAATATATAGCCTGTCAATTGGTGACAAATGGAGAAATATAAAGGGGCCTCCCGTTTAAGGGTGGTCAGATCTACACAAATGATCCTGGTTTACACAAACCAATCTCGTTCTCTATTCAGAAATATCAATGGGCAACCAGTGATTGCTAGACATGCTAGGAAAACCGACGTCATAAAAGAGAAAAGCCAAGTTGACCAAACAGTATAACATGCCAAAGAGGGGACAGAGATTATTTAGGGACCATAAACAAATGTATTTATTCTAACTGCTATTCTCCCCTGCTCCCCCGGAAAAAAAAAAAAAAAAAAAGAAAAGAAAAAGAAAAAGAAAAAAGAAAAAAAGCAAAGGAAAGAGAAGGCACTGTATCTATAAAATAAATACTATTATAAAACAAAAAAGAATAAGAACAAGAAAACATTCTGAAAATTTAAAATAATACATTGAAATAAAGCAAAGTAATAGACATCCAGAACTATAAAATGAACATGGCTAAAGACCAAGTTGGTAAGCTAGAAGATAAAGCCGAGGATATTTCCAAGAATGTAGAGTGAAAAGACAAAGATAGAATACCTGAGAGAAGTGTTAAGCAATGAAGAAAAGATACAGAAGGTCAGCAATTATCTAATAGGAGTTTTGGAAGGACAACAATAAAAAGACAACAGAAAGGAAGACACTATAAAATAACGAAAAAATTTCCCAGAGTTGAAGAAAGCTACAAGTCTTTATCTGAAAGAATCTACTGGAGGCTCAGAGAAACGAATAAAAAGACTCATAAACAGGCACATACAAATGAAATTTCAGAACTCCAAGAGAAAAGAGAGTCCTAAAAGTTTCTAACAAAAAATGAGTTACTTAAAAAGAAAGAAAAATCAGATCGGCATTAGTCACTAGACTGTAAAGCCCATGAGAAAAGAGATTTATATATTTAAATAGCCAGATAATTGTAAATGTGGTGATAAGTTTTAAATTTTGGAGTCAATCTACATACATAACATAAAATGACCTAAAATGTATAAATTTCAAACATATAAAAATAAAAGAATAAGTACAATTTGGAGGTAGAAGAGGAAGGAGGGATGGAAGGTATAGAAATGAACCATAATTTCTAACAGAGGATCAAAAATTATCTAAGATGATAAATTAAAGATTAAAATGTATGTATTTTAGTGTTTTTCTACCCTGGCTACATATTAAAGTGACCTGGAAGCCTTAAAAAAAAAAAATACCAACTCTTGGGCCCCACCCCAGATGAAGTAAATCAGTATCTCAGGTGTGGCCTGGACTGCTGCATTTTTGAAAAGCTCTCCAGGTGACTAATGTTCAGCCAGGATTGACAGCCACTTTAATTAAAGTCATAAAGACAACAACTAGAAAAATGATAAACAAACTAATAGTGATTGCTCCGGGGAATAGAACAAGGAACTTCTAAACTATTTAAATTGTTTTTATAGAGGAAAAAAACAGGAAGAAGAAGGAAGAAGAAAGGATCTAACTGGGATGAGAACAGGTTTCTCAGCCTCAGCACTAATGATATTTAAGGCCAGGAATTCTTTGTTGTGGGAGGTTGTCCTGTGTACTATGTGAGGTTTAGCAGCCTCTGAGACTCATTAAATGCCAAGAGCACCCCTCCCAGTCATGACAACCAAAAATAATTCCACCCACTGCCAAATGTCCCCTGGAGGGCAAAACTGCCTTAAGTTGAGAACCACTGGACTAGAAGAATAATCCTGTGTTATTGAAGTTGCTTGAACTACAAGGGAAGGGCAAAGATTTGAAAAAACATTATTGTACACCATGTAAATTAAAGTGCATCTATTCAGCACTAGGTCTTTAATTGGAATTAAATGTACACATTTTAATTAAAGCCCCAGAAGGGAATGCATGAGGCTTTTCCTTATGGATGCTCCAAGCTTTGGGATTTACTTTCATTATTAGAATAACAAAACGTCAGAGCAATTATGCTTTTATAAAAAGTTGCAGGACCTCCTGGCAAGCAGCCAGAATCTTGCCAATTTCTTTGAAACTTGAGAAAACCCTTTTCTCATACTAAACAAAACAGGGGAGACCTAGCCAAACATAACCCTGGGCTGTAGGCCCAAGTTCATTTCAGTTCAGTAACTATTTGAGCATCTAGTACATGTGTTGGGGATAATAACATTAATAAAACAAAGACTAGATTTCTTAACTGTTATAGAAATCATTAGAGTAGAAATACATTTTTTAAGAGGTTTTGTTTTCTGTACTTTACAGTATTGTATGAAAATGGAGTTTTCTGCACTGTTCAAACCTGTGCCATCCAAATGGTAGCCACGATACACGTGGCTATTGAGCCCTTGAAAAGTGGCTGGTCTGAATTGAGACATGCTATAAATGTAAAACGCACACTGGATTTCGAAGATATGGTATGAAAAAAATAGGTAAAATATCTCATTATATTTAGAACTTACATTTTGAAATAATATTTTGGGTATATTGGTTTAAATAAAATGTTATTAAAATTAAAATTAATTTAATCTATTTCTTCTTATTTTTTTAATGTGGCTACTAGAAAATTTAAACTTTAACATGTGGCTTACATTTCTGATTGTCATTTGATTTCTATTGGACAGTACTGTACTAAACTCTTGATTTTTATGGGACATCATTGTTAATAATAACAGCATTGTTTACATTTTTGGGCCTTTTCTCTACCCTGGCATTCAGTGAGGGTGAGTTCCATTAATACTTCTATAGATGTGGTTATATGGAAGTACTTGGCAGATGGTGAACTAAAGTTGATTATAGGTTAGTTAAATTCACTTCATGGCTTGGCCACATGCTGTGTAGTCTTAGTTAAGTTACTCAACCTCTCTGAGCCTCAGCTGACTCATCTGTAAAATGGGGATAATGCTATCTCACATACACATAGGTTGTCTACATTCACAATGATTCCACAGTGTCTTGCTGAATAAGTTTTTAAACCTTAGAAAGAAAAGTCTCTTGAAGCTCCTTACTTCAATGCTGATTTTTACTTCTCAGTAGCGAGTCTGAGATAACCAGTTTTCAATGTATAGAAAGGTTCTTGCCTGACAACAGCATAGCTGAAAGAGGAATCATTTCTAGAGCTAGGCTTGCTAGAAATAAGGCTGAGTAAGGCTGAAAGAGGCTTTTCTCTTCACACCCTTAAGGATAGTAATTATTCCTCCAATTCTACGGTGCACTTGTCACATGGTATGCATTCAACACAAAATTATTGCATTGAAAACAGTATCAAAGAGATTCTTATATTTGGAATTTATTTAGTTCATTTACCAAGTTATCTATTTGACCTAGAGTAGAAGAAAGATTATTTACTAGTAGTGCTTACTAGTCTCATCCTTTCCATTTATTGTAAATAATGTCTTAAATAGGAGTAACAAATCATTTCTTTATTCATCCCTTTAGTCACTTACATACATAATATACTGTTAATATTTTTGCTTTATTGGAAACAAGTCTACTAAAAGGCAGAGTTATTCAAAATTGTATACAGATGTGAATCTTTAAATTGTGAATTTTACCTTACCAATGATCTAGTTGTGCTCTTTTTCTATTTTAATAATTGGTTCCAAATTCAAAACTGCTTTCAACCTACAAATTTAGATATGTAATAACTGCTGGTGAAAACATCAATTTTGTAGCTTAGTCTCTCTTTTACATGAGTGCTTATTTCAAGTTTACTATTATAATCATGGAAATAGTCTCTACTGCTGCGAGGTTGGAAGGCACATTCATTCATTTATTTAACAAGTATTTTTTAAACATCTACTCTGTGCCAGTACTGTAATAGGTAGTCATGACTTTCATGTTGTCAATTTTCAATGGTATTTTAGATTTTCCAAAAGGCATGTTACTTTAAATCAAATCATCAAGTCAGGAAAATTTTTGTTTTTCTAGTTTGATTCAAGGGCTGAGCATTAGATGCTATAGAAGCACAGGTTGATGGGCAGGCTCCTGATAACTGACATATTTTAGCAAATGTTTGAGACAGTGAGGCATCGTGTGTAAATATAGCATAGCATTATGGTTAAGCTTCCTGGTTGTGGAACCAGAAAGACCTGGTGGTGAATCCTGACTGTTTACTGGCTGCGTAACCTTGGAAAAGTTAATTAACCTCCCTGAACCTCAGATTGCTCATTTGTTAAAGTGGGAACTAACAATAGTACATACCTTATAGTATTATAGTGAGGATTAGGTGAGATGACATGTGTAAAGCATAGAGATCAGTGCTGGAATTTACTGACTGCTCAAGGAATGTTAGCTATTAATAGGAGAAATAACACTGATGATGGTGATAGTAGTATTTACTTGGGTTCAAGGGGCTTCCTTATTTTGCTGAATTGTCTAATGTTCATAGAAAGAACAGGGCTTTTTGTTTTTTGTTCTTTTTCATGTTCTGGTTAACAATGTCAAACAAAAAATATTTCAAGATTTGGTTGTTCAGCAATCCCTCTGCTGGGTATTTACCCCAAAGACTTGAAAACTCATATCCGAAAAGTTATTTGCACACTGATGTTCATAGCAGCATTATTCATGGTGGCCAGGACATGGAAGCGACAGAAGTGTCCTACAATAGATGACTGGATAAAGAAGCTATGGTACATATATACAATGTAATATTAGTCATAAGAAGAGAGGAAATACTGCCATTTGTGACAACATGGATGGACCACGAGATAATCATACTAAGCGAAACAAGCCAGACAGAAAAAGTTGAAAACCACATGATATCACTTATATGTGAGATATAAACCTAAAATCAACAAACAAATAGGACAAACAAACAGAAACTCATGGACATGGACAATAGACTAGTGGTTACCAGAGGATAAGGGGGAAGGATAGATGGGTTAACGGGGGTCAAATACGTGGTGACATTAAAGAATTGAAAACAAAATTTGGTTGTTAAAATATTTTTGAAACATATTAATCCATTTCAAAGACTAAAAGAAAATGTACTTTAATATTTTTATATATGCCAAGTTCCTGCAGGATTTGGGGGTCTCATAATATCCACTGATTGTGAAAGAATGTTACTGTAGATGCAGAAGTTTCAGAAAATTTGTACTAAGCCCAAAACAAAATTCAAATATTTATTTAGCTAAATGCCTAATCTAATTTTGTTTCTTTCTCCTAAAAGTGTAATGCTAACAAAATTATAGTTAATTCAAAGTGCTTGACAACTGGATTCTGTTTTACTGTCTCATTCTAACTAATTTTGTTTATTAACGGTGTAGAAAATAAATTTACCGGATCTAAAAATTGTTAATCAAACAAATTAAAAGGAGTTTCTACTGAATTAAATATTTTCATATTATATTTCTAAGAATTTTACTCACAATTGCCACAGGATCATTGCTGCGGGTTGCAGCCAAGCTGAACTTTTGTACATGAGTGTTGGTCTCCAGAGCTTTAGCAAATTCTTTCAAGGTTGGTATTGGAATGTTCTAAGATGGGAAAGATACAGATAGTTGATAAACCAATTGGCAGCACCCCCACCCCAAGCTATGGACCAGCAACTTTCAAATACTTTATATGTTTAGATGACTAATTGCATGACATCCCCACTAAAATACAGTCATCACCCATTCTCCAGCAACCAAGTCACACCTAGCCAATAACAACACTTACAGTCCAATAAGGGGATCTAACACAATGTGACATTCTGGTATCTCCCTTCTTTTTACTAACCAAGAAATTATGCATATACCACATTCCCCTCTTCTCTTTCATTCTCTATATTCTAACCAGATTGACCTATTTGTTATTCTTTTATTTTTATTTATTTATTTTAAAAAATTTCCCCCACTCCTCCACTTCCACCCCTGACCTACGGATGTTGCTGTCTCCCCTTAAGAATTGGATCTGTGAAGGTGGGGTGTCTCCTCCCACACACTTGCGGTCCACACCCGGGGCCTGGTGCGCCCAGGGTATGGGCCATGGCTCCACTGGAGCTCAAACCCAGAACCTTATGCTTGTAAAGCAGATGTGCTAACCACTACTCTATGGAACCACCCCTTATTCTTTTAATATACCATGGTCTTTCCTCCATATTTTTAGACATGCTTTTCCCTTTGCCTGGAAATTCCTTTGTCTTTTTCTCTGATTAATTCCCACTCATCTTTTAAGATCCAGTTGAATATTATCTCCTTTGTCTCTCAGCTTTTCTAGGCAGGATCAAAATTTTCCTAACCTGCAATTCCATAATATTTGGGGGCTTACATGTGTTGCAATGATTTGTTTAGTGTTTTTCTCCTAATATAAGTTCTTCAGAAAAAAAGGCCATATGTATCTTAATCCCTCTTCTACAGCATGTAGCACAGTGCTGACCACTGGGGAGGGAGACAACACACAGCACATCTAGAGGTTGACTCGTGTGAGTCCTAAATGTGCTACAGACTAGATCTGTGACTATGAGCAACTTAACCTCTTTAAGTCCCATTAAAGATGAAATGAGATGATGAATTTCAAGTATTTAGCAAAATATCTGGTACTGAGTGAGTACTCAATAAAAGTCAGTTATTATTATTAAATGCTAGAAATTGGCCCAACAAGAATGAACAAAACAGATGTCAATGTTCTTATACTCTTTCTCTCCCTCCCTCCTGCTGTGCTCTCTCGCTCTCTCTCTCTCTCTCTCTCACACACACTCACACACTCACACACACACATACTCTCTCTCTCTCTCTCTCTCTCTCTCTCTCTCTCTCTTCCTCTCTCTATTGCCAAATAGAACAAAGTGGAAATGACTTCAGAGAATAAGTCATAAAAGGCATTGTGGCTTCTGGCTTTCTTTCTCTTGGATCACTTGCTTTAGGGGAAGTCAGCTGTCATGACATGAGGACACCTAGGCAGTCCCATGGAGAGGGCCATGTGGTAAGAAATTGAGGCTTCCCGCCAACAGCTACATGAGTATGCCATCTTGGAAGCAGATCCTCCTGCCCCAGTCAAGCTTTCAGATAACCGTAGCCCTGGCTGATAGCTTCATTGAGATACTGAGGCCCAGCTACCCAGCCAAGTCACTCCCTGATTCCTGACACTCAGAAACTATGTGAAATAAAAAATGTTTATTGTTTTAAGCCTCTAAATTTTGGAGTAATATGCTATTCAGCAATAGATAACCAGTACACTGTGTTTACCACAACTATTGTGATTCTTTTAAAAGAATTCTAGAAATCACTTTTTTTTAAAAACCCACTTCTTTTGAATAGGATATCCTGCCTCAAAATCAGTGATGCTAAGAATTGCAAATAGGTGAACTCATGTCTGAACTCATGTCTGAACTCATGACAAATCTAGTGACTAACAAAAATCATAATGAAATACCTTTATGTTGTTGAGATTGACTTCTTGAAGGCTGGGATCATTGGCTTTCATCTGCTGCAGACTTACTTCCACATTTGTGGGATTGGGTGGTTCCTCAAATATAGGCTTGACCTTTTCACCTTTGACCACATCTAAGACACAAGTTTTAATTTTACAACGAAAATATAAGAACTCTCTTATCAAAATCATTCTCCCAATGACCTTTCTTTCATATGCTCTGATTCCAATAATACTCTAAAATCAATAACAGCAAGCTTATTCGCAGCAAAGCAAGCATGGGAATGGTATGCTTCTGAGTTATAGTTTCAAACATTGATGTTTCTCTACCGCAATGAGAAGAAATCTCAATAGCTGACACTGCACAGAACCAAAAGTGCAGAAGACCCTACAGCAAACTCAAACTTCAAAAGAACATGCTTTTGAGCAGTTATTGCTGCTCCATAAAGACTGCTTTCAGACTATAATAACCAAATACTAGAATCTTGAGATGAAAAAAAAAAAAAAAAAAAGAATCTCTTCATTTCCTAAACCTAAACACTCCTCTGGCTTTTTGGCCCAACCTGACCCTCCTCTGATGTCCATTGTACAGTGTTAATTTTGAGGAAAGTATGGGAAGATAAAGGAATAGAAAAGAAGAATGAAAGAATTCTCAAAATCATTTAACAGAAAATGTTTCCAATATATATAACATATGAAGGGTCAACATCCCAATATACCAGAGCTCTTACAAATCAATGACAACCCAATTAAAAATGAACAAGTAATATGATCAGAAGAATTTCTGTCACCCAACTAAAAAAATATTAAAAAATACTTAAACTCTAAAATTAAAAAATAAGATACCATTTGATTATCAAATAAATAAATAAAAAGACATAATATTCAGAGTTGTCAATAATGTAGAGGAAAAAGCATCCTCACATACTGTTGGTGGAAATGAAAGCTGGTACACACTTTTTGGGAGAGTAAGTTGGAATTACCTATCAAAAATTAAAATGTGGATACTATATGACCCAGTAATTCCATATCTAGAAGTCTAATCCACAGAAAAATAGCATGAATACATAAAGGTATACATTCAGGGATGTTCATAGATGTATTGCCTGTGACAGTAAACCATAATAAACAATATGTCCATCAATATGAAAATGGTTAAATAAGTTTTAGTATAATTATATAAGGTGCAATCATCGAAAGAATGAAGTAAATCTACATATACTGATAAGAGAACTACAATTTGAAAAAAAAAGCTAATGAATAATGAAATACTTAGGTATAAACCTGAGAAAATCTGTACAAGATCAGTATAAGGAAAACTACAAAACTCTGTTGAAAAAAACCAAAAAACTAAATGGAGAGATATTCCATGTTTAAGGACAGAAAGACTCAATATTGTCAAGATGTCAGTTCATCTCAACTTGACCTATAGATTCTGTGCAATCCCAATAAAAATTCCAGCAAGTTATTTTGTAGATATCCACAAACAAATTCTAAAGTTTATGTAGAGAAGCAAAATACCCAGAATAGCTAACACAATATTGCAAGAGAAGAGCAAAGTTGGAGGACTGACACCACCTGACTTCAAGACTTACTATAATGCAATGGTAATCAAGACAGTGTGGCATTGGTGGAAGAATATGCAAATAATCAATGGAACAGAACAGAGCTCCAACATAATCCCACATATAGTTGACTGATCTTTGGCAAAAAAGCAAAGACAACACAACGAAGAAAAGATGGTTTTTTCACAAATGGTGCTGGAACAACTGGACAACCACACACCTTATACTTTCACAAAAATCAACTCAGAATAGATCACATACCTAAATGTAAAATGTAAAACTATAAAACTCTTAGAAGGTAACATAGGATGAAACCTAGATGACCTAGGTTTGGCGACAAATTTTTAGATACAACACCAAAAGTATGATCCGTGAAAGAAAGAATTGACAGGCTGGACTTCATTAAAATTAAAACTTTCTACTCTGCAAAAGATTCTGTCAAGAGAATGAGGAGATGAACCACAGACTGGGAGAATACATTTGCAAAAGACATATGTAATAATGGATTATTATCCAAAATATACAAAGGACCCTTAAAACTCAACAATAAGAAAACAATCTGATTAAAAAATGAGCCAAAGATCTAGACAGACACCTTACCAAAGAAGATATACAAATGGCAAATAAGCATATGAAAAGATGCTCCACATCATATATCGTCAGGGAAATGCAAATTAAAATGGCGAAATACAACTACACACCTATTAGAATGGTGAAAATCTGGGACAGTGACAACACCAAATGCAGGCAAGGATGTGGAACAATTCTCATTCGTTGCTGGTGGGAATGCAAAATGGTACAACCACTTTGGAAGACAGTTTCACGATTTCTTACAAAACTAAATACACTCTTACCATATGACCTAGTAATCACGCTCCTTCATATTTATCCAAAGAAGCTGAAAATTTATGTCCACACAAAAACCTGCACACAAATGCTAATAGCTTTATTCATAATTGCCCAAACTTGGCAACCAAGATGCCATCCAGTAGGTAAATGGATAAATAAACTGTGGTACATGAGATAATGAAATATTCAGCACTAAAAAGAAATGAGCTATTAAGCCAATGAAAAGATGGAAGAACATTAAATGCATATTATCAAGTGAAAGAAGCCAGTCATAATAGGCTACATATATGGAGACAGTAAAAAGATCAGTGATTTCTAGGAGTTAGAGGGGAGGAAAGATGAATAGGTAGAGCACAGAGGAATTTTAGGGCGGTGAAGCTACTCTGTAAGATATTATAACAGTAGATCCGTGACACTATACATTTGTCTAAACTCATAGAGTGAATTCTAATGTAAACTGTGGACTTCAGGTGATAATGTGTCAATGTAGGTTCATCAATTGTAACATATGTACCACTCTGGTGCAGGATGTTGATAATGAGGGAGGCTATCTATGCATGTGGAAGGGCAGAGGGTATACGTGATATCCTTATGACTTTCTTTCAATTTTACTATAAACCTAAAGCTGTTCTAAAAAAAAGTCTTTAAAAAAGTTAATGATATATATGTATAAAAGCCCAGGTTATGTAATTGCAAACATATTATCAGAATGTTACCTTTTGATATTGAAGTTAAAAAGGATGAACATTTTTCATCCGTATGCTTAAGAAACCAGAAAGAAAATAAAAGGAATATTGCTCATTGTCTGGTTAAATTATCCGGTACAAGTGATGATTTACAAGTATGCCGCTGAGACTAGAAAGCATCTCCCAAGTTTTCATTAAAGAAAATAAAATATAAATAATCTTAGAAAAACTGATCTTCAGTGAGTTTTCTCAGTACCTGGATCACCAAAATTACCTGATTATTGATCTATCCCTACCATGAGAAGATAAGTTCCTTTGGGCAGGGACCATCTTTGTACCTAGGCCTGGAACACATAGTAGGTATTTAGTAGATGACTGATGACTGGAGAGTCTAATGAACTGTATACATCTCCAGAAAACGCTGACATAGAAGATGGTGGTCTGGAACTATCTGTGTCAGTAATTCCACACCAGTGTGTCTTTCATGCTCTTTGGCGGAAGTGGGTATTCAAATTCTAATGACAAGCATCCATTATTGAGACAAAAAGACATTTGAATGGAGAAGGGAACTTAGCTAAGATACTATAGTTGATTAAAACGCCTTAGGAACATGCACCTGTTTGCATCCTATGCTGACTATGAAAACTTTTTATCAGCAATTTTATCTTTTGACTGAACAGACCTACCAAGAGCGTGTGTTCTGGACAAAACAACTGATTATTACTAGTTATACTGCCCAACACAGTTCTCATTATCAGCTACTCTATTCTGGTTTGACAGCTCAGAGCCCAATGATCCTTGGTGAACTGACAAAAGCCACCTTCGAAGCCTGCAAGATGGAAGTCTGGAGTCACTAGCAGGCCCAGTCAACAGGCCTCTCTCCTCTCAGCGAGCGACACCTGGAGGCTCCCAAGTCTCACAAGAACCACAGATTCCTCGTCAACTTACTTCTCACAGGCCCTTTGCCACCTTTACTACTTGCTGTTTCTTCATCGAACTTTGGATTATTGAGCAAATTGTGTACTCCAAGAACAGCTGAAAGCAAAAAAATCAGTGAATAAACATTAAGTTTGGGAAAGCATGTTAGGATATCCACATTGTTAAATTACTCCTCAAAGAACAATTCTTCATACCATAAAGATAAGTCTCCAGACCTCCCTTGCTTTGCATACTGTATGGTATATGTACAGAGTTAAATAAGCTTATTAAAAAATCCCTCCTTCCAAGACCACCAGCAATCTTCACAGGGCTTTCTACATCTATACATCTGTAATCATTTAGGATCTGAGAGACAATGGTCTGGTTATGTCCCCAAATTGCTGAAAACCTGCTGAGACCTGTTAGTGAAGTAGAATCAGATTTTCAGTTTTTTCATCTGTAAAATCTAAGGGTAGGACTGAGTCTAAGGTTATTTTAAGGTCTAAAATCATATAGATGGTAGCATGTGTTTTTCTAGAGGCAAAGAACAGAAAGATCATGGACCTCTTTCAATGTAAGCCTCACCAAAAGGAGTAGTCCTTTCAATGTCTAGAACATCCCAGGGTGGGCAATAAAAGAGAAGATGTCAGCAATAAAAGGTCCTATAACCATGTTGAGATTTTGAGTCTCCTGTATTACATGGAACTTGCACCAGGAGGCAGCACAGTATGCAAGAAACAGCACTAGGTGAGCATGAACACTGGGCAGGCTGAAGCTGCAACTGCCCACCCAACTTCCCTTTGCTAATGATATTGCAAGTGAGAAATTATAGGTGGCCACCTGGTGAAGGATCCCAGAATAGATAATCTGACAACAGGCGGCAGAGGTGCAGCTGTAATCTACCCATTAGAAGGAGGAGGCCAGCATACCACGAGAAAGGACAAATGTTTACAGCCAGCAAGTCTAAGGTTAAAGAAGGGCACTCAGGATCAGTCAGCCAGAGTGAATCCTGACTCTGTCACGTACTACTTGTGTGACTTGAGAAGTTACTAAAGCCTCTGATCCTGTTTCCCCATCTGTAAAATAGGAATAATAATTATTCTTTATCTATTACAAAGATTAAATGACTTCCTATGTGTCAGGCACTGTTCTAAGTGCTTTACGAATTCTTGTTAAGTAAATAAGAATTTGTTACTGTGTTTCTGGAATTATCTAGGGAGAAGATGCCCTATTTGATAAACATAGGCCACTGAGACCATCCAACAAATATGACTTGATTTGGCCCCATTACTCACTAACTTCTAATTATAATTTGATTCCCACTGTCAAATTTTAATTTTTGTTTTATCTGTTTCCTGTGAATCTGGCTAGTGGATCAGTCTCTACCACCCAGCCCCAATCTGACTGATACGGTGTGCGCGGACAAGATCAGATCTCTACAGATCTCTAGACCAGCAGAGCTGAGAACTAGACTCTGGGTGGTAACCATACTAAGATATGGCCATTCTGGGAGGAGCTGTTTTGGAAGTTGACTGCTGCTCCCTTGATGAACTGTCTCTCTACTCTCGGTCTGCCACAGTAACATGGGCAGGGTGTTGACACTCTTGCTTATCTAAACCTCAAATGGCTGGCAGCCCATTCACTCCTTGCGCTGCTCTTAATCTTTCCAGAGAGAGCCACCTTAGAGCAGATGCTGCCATCCGCCCTCAGCCGGCTTTCCTCCTGAGTGCTGAAGGAAGGAGCACTTGATGAGGGAAGAAGGCTGAGTAAAGATGAACAAAACAGTTTTCTATTGGAATTATCTCTCTGGTTTTATTGTGTGAATTTCAGGATCTAGTATCTTCCAAGTGATTGGTGATTTTCTCTTTCTCTTTGCTTAGGTATTTCCTGGGAATTCAGGCCTAGCCCTGCATTCTCCCTTCGGGCAATTCCAGTAGAGACCAGGAGGCAGCCCTTGGGAGGGGCAGTGACCATAACAGGATTCCTCCATAGCAACCACTGGGCTAAGTAGACTGGTCACTGCAAAGCGACTTCTTAACTAGTGATACAGGTGCCTCAACTCCTGCAGTAACTTCTGAGAGGGGTTCAAATATGTGACCTTAATATCAACCATTGATATCACAAAGGAATGAAAATGTAGCTAAAATGGTTTGCAGGCTATTAGAATAAGGCATAGCTGATTCTCCTGGGAGGAAGGAGATTATAATAACATATGTCTTCCAATGGAATTAAAAAAATGTGAGAATTCTTGTTAAAGCTGTGGAGTTTTTTTTTTTTTAAGGCGAGGAAACCCTTGGTTGACCTCACAGATTGCAAGGACCTTGTCAGCTTACAACCCCTTATTTTTTTTATTTTTTATGCCTACAGCACCTGGTTGCACAGTTTTTTAAAGCACCTCTCCCCTGTGGTGATCTAATGACCCTAATAATCAAAATTTCCATCTCATTTGAAAAAAATGCATCCCATTAGTGCACAAATATGCACTATACAAGAAGTGGAAGGAAGCTCAGGAAATTAGGGTGAGAGACTTACTTTTCATTACATATTCTTTTGTACTATTTGGGCTTTTTCTATCTGCATGTATAACTAAGTAATAATAACAATAATTATTATATTGTTGCTATTGTTAAGAAAACTAGAAAAAAATAAGCAGATTGTACTAAATATGGATTCACTTTACTGGGTGAATATAATAGAAAATTATTCCTGCTCCATAGAGAGGCTAATAGACCCCTTAGTGGGAATAAAAATGGAATAGCAACTATGAGGAAGAACAAGAAGTTCATGGAAATTTTGTGAGAATAAAATGTAGTAAAATGCCAAATGTGAAAGTTCTTTAGGAAGCATAAGGGATATTAATTTATTGTTTAAAGTTCTCGACACTCCATCTTTATTCTCGTTAATTTCTCAAATTCTTGAGTTTTGTAGCGATGGGCATTATTGTGGCATTTTACAGCTGAAATACTGCAGAATGTTTGTTCAGAGGAGTTAAGTCATCTGTATTGTCTTACAGCTACATAATGGCTGAAGTTGACCTGGTATCACATTAGTAACCAGTAGCTATGGAGAAGCTCAAAGCCTGCTGCTATGGTTGCCAACCTGGAGGTCACAGAGCCAGAGAGGAAAGTGCCCCAGAGCTGAGGACTAACCTGCAAGATCATAGAGTTCAGTGTCAGAGGCGCTGGCCAAAGCTTCTTCCAGTTCCGGGTCAAGGGTCACTTTTTCTTCTTTATGAGTTTCTATGGGCTTTTCTTTGGGAATAAAGACTCTCCCTTTAAATCAGAGGGAAAAACAAACACATGTTGCTACCTTATTGTAGGATAAGTGGACTGACCAGAGAATGTAGCTCTGGCCATTAAGAGTAGAGTCACTGAGCCACTGCACGTCCAACTGAGATTTCTTGATTGCTGGGGTGATGCCAATTATCAATAATCCGCAATTACAGAAAAAGGTCAGAGGAGGAATCCTGCATTCTACCACACCAAGATCCAAGGAGACTACAGTTCTTAAAAACAGAGGGAAACGGTGGCTTCTATTTTCCTCCCTTTCATCAACCAGCAGCACTTAGACGTGGACCCCACACTTTAGAGAGCCCAACTCTGGGCTCCCCCACTGCTCCTGCCCCACTGCTCCTGCCCCACCACACACACACACATGGGACCATTCATACCCAGAATGGAGGCCGCCTGCTAGACTAAACCCGAGATACCTAGGACCCTGGAATTCTCTGCCTAAAGAGCCCTGAGCCTGCTTCTAGGGTCTGCATGAGTCCCTTTCCCATGCCATCCTCCTGAGGGCAGGTCACACTGCTGGGGTATGTACCTCCAGGCCAAGGGAAATTGCTTGTGGGTGAGCATGGGCAAAGCTTAGCTATGCAGGCTAGGGTGTTGACTACGTGTGCCGAGGCCTTAGCAGTATAGGACAGACCCACCTCCTCATGTGGGACTCTTGGACATCCAAGAGCACAGGCCTAGGTATATCTATAGGATGATAGAACTTATTTTAACAGTTTGTTAGTTTTTAGATTTATAAAAAATGGCACATCAGCTTCTACTTGTGTTCTTGCCTTGGACCCTGCAAATGTTTGGGCCAGATTCATCCAACTGGCCCCTGGGGTTCCTGAGGGACAAACTGATCATTCAGAATTTTCCTCCTACCAACTGAGATTGTAGACCACTAGGATGCTACATCTGGGGTCACTTGACTAGATAGTGACCTGGGGACATAGCCACCTCTCTAGAGCATATCAAAGCAAACCTGATTTAAAAGAAACAACATCAGGGCTGTCATACTCAGAGCTGTGAGGTCTAAGTAGCAGGGCACTCTGTGCTTCCCACACACGCATTCTCTGCCACCATCTCTTACTTCATCCTGTCAGCTGGATTCCATTTATTTTGCCCCCAGCTCGCTTCTGAATATGCTGATATCTACCCCTGTGCATGCATATGCATACACACACGCATACACACACATACACACACACACACACACACACACACACTCCACTCCACCCACACCACACCATATCACACCACACCACACACACCCCCCTCTCCAACCCAAACCTCTGGCTAATGATCACATTGCTGGAAAGATGGCACATTTCCTGCTCCTAACTTCCGGCCAGGCCAGCACACCCACATCTCACATGGGCAATGGCTCATAAAGATGTGAACCCAAGACACTCCAGGGCCCTCATAGCAATACTCCAGATCTACTTACCCTCTTTCCAATTCATTCTAGCTTTCACTCTTGGTTTCTCTATCATGGAGCTGTTCTTACTTCTTGGCATGATCTTTGAAATTGGTATCCTCTATTTTGATTTTTGGAGTTCTTTAAAGACTCATCCCTCCATGGCTTCTCTTCTTTGTTACCGTGGGTAAAACAGGTAGCTAGCTCCAGGTTCAGCCAATTGGGACCCAGGATCTTTCTAGGTCTCCCTTGGCTAGCCTGGCCTTACCCACTGCCATGGGAAAGGCAAGGGTCCAACCCAAAGTCAGTACCTCTCCCTCATGAAAACTCTCCAGAAGACGTCCCTGGTTACAGAGGCTACATATTTCCTGATAGTTCACCAGATCTTTAAATAACCAGGATAAAGAAATGGGGGCCAGGCAGAGCTGGACTTCCCAAGAAGGCACCACTGCTTGTGGTCAAGCTGGGGTATCCTGGTCGCAAGGTCTCTACATTTGACCATTATATGAGCTGCCACATTTCCCAGAAAGAAAGGAAAATACACTAGGAAAAAAAATAGGAGAATGGTCAAAAGGAAGGGAAAAAAATATGTCAATCAATCAATAACATCTCAGACACTAGGGCTCATCCCAGACTTAATTTTCATAATATCTGCAGCCTTAAGCATTTTATTTCTGGCTCAGATGATCGTGGGCCTAGAGTTAACACAGGATTTCTGAATTCTTAATTCCTGGCACTATTTAGAAGTACTCGAAACATCAGGTACACAGGTGGCCCACAGCTATCAGTATTTAGGATAACTGCTGCTGCACATCCTTTTCTGAGGGTCCAACCAAACAACAAGTTCTAAGTAAATAAATCCATAGTGGAGAGTTAAATGCAGCTCAGGAAACAAGGGCCCAAGGCATGTGGCATTCAGAACTGAGATTTTGGGCCTGTCTCCAGAGGTCTTCACAATAGCCTCCCCCTGCTTCCAGGTCATCTGCTGGTCTTTCTTGAGGCCCTGACGACAACTCACCCTGATCCCTCTGCTCTGTTTGGAAAACTTGCTCTCTGATCATTTTGCTCAGCTGTATTGCTTCTCAGTCTTCTCCTAAGCTACAATGTGCCGCTGTATGCCCCGTCTGTATCCCCATTTATTACTCAGACAGCTCCTGCACTCCTAACACTCGCCCCTCGTGAACCATAGCTGCTCCTCAGACCTCTAATCTAAGAACAAAAGACAATAGCTTTCCTCTTATTATTCTGTCATTACCCTAATACTGGATGTTAATTGGGATTTTATTGAAGATTTGACATTATAATCATTTTTCCTTTGACAACTAAATTAGTCTAATAGCAACTATACTGCAATAGAAAGAACTCCATATTTCTACGGTAATCCTTGGTTATTTGCTCAGTTCGTCACTGTTTAACTTTACTTTCTTAATAAAATGACATTATCAGTGGTGCATGATCCATTGAATGTGCATGGTTCAGGGGAGAGTCCAGATGCTCTGTAAGAGAAGGCAGAGGTGCTCTGACTCATGGCAGCAGAGGGGGGCTGTGCTCCTCCTATTCCTCGCAGCCATGGCACAGAAGCTCAGAGATGGCATTCATTCAAATCCGTATTTATCGAGTGCCTCCCCTGCGTCAGTTTCTGTGCCAGAATGCAAGAGAGACACAGTCCCATTGTGGAGTTCTCAATCTAGTGTGGAACACTCACAAAACCCAAAGTAAATAAACAAAAGGATGAACACTGTCAGTGCTGTGAAAGCAATAAATGAGTGTCATGGCAGAGAGAAGGGGTCTATTTTAGACAGAGAGGTCTGGGAAAGCCAGAGGCCTTGACACTTAAGCTGAGAGTTAGAATGGAAAAAATGGGGATGTGGGTCAGAGGGAAGAGTCCACGAGAAGACACTGAGATGGGAAAAGAACTTGGCAGGTTTGGGGAATTAAACAAAAATATTGTGGCTGAGGTTTAATGAGGGAAGGCAGTCAAAGAGGTGGGCAGGGCGAGCTCCCCCAGGACTGTGAGGACCACAGCAGGGATTTGGGGCTTTAAGCAGGGAAGTGACATGATCTGATGTTTTTAAAAGATTGTGGTTGCCATGAGGTTATCCATGATTCCATTAGTATCCATGGGCCCAAGTTTCCATCCATGGCTGAGGAATCTGATCGGGTAATTGATATCCACTTTTCCTCCAAAGGGGGGCTCGGGGTCGGGAGCTAAGGAGGAGACTTTTCCTTGTCTGAGTTCTGAGCTCACTCCTGGCATGGAGAAACATCCCTTTGCTCTTCACAGCCTTTGCAGGTCTATCATAGTGTCCTTGAGGGCAGGGTGGGGTCTTATTCACTGGGTCTTATTCACTGTGGTCCCAGACTCTGGCAAGTAGCTGTGCACAGAAGAGGTGCTGGATGAATGAATGATTAACTGCACTGACCTCTAACGGTAGCATCTGAGGGAACAGAGCCAATGTCTAGACACGGAGCAGACTTCTGCCGTGGGTAAAGCACTGGGCTAAGAGAAACATACCCATGCCGATGGGACCCTCTTTCAGACACAACACTACTTCACATTTCCAAAACTTTTTCTTTGGGCCTTAAGATTATTTTTTACTGAACTAATTTGAGTACCATCTCACTCTAATTATTCATTTCATTAGCTTCCATACTCTGCCATCTTTTTTTTAATTAATAAGCTTTATTTTTTTGGAGCAGTTTTCGGTTCCCAGAGGAAAGTATCGAGAGTTCCCATATACTCCCTGGTCTCACACTCACAACCTCCCTCTTTAACATCCCACAGCAGAGCTCATTTATTACAATCAACGAACCAACATTGATATTATTATCACCCAAAGTCCATAGATACATTAGGGCTCACTCTTGGTGATGTACAGTCTATGGGTCTGGACAAATGTCTATACAGACATGTATCCATCAGCCAGGATTCTCTTTAATATAAAATCCAGTTCATGGGCTCATTTCCCACCTCCTTTGCTTGACCTCTCATGACAGTACACTAGGAGTGCCTTGCTCCCGAGACATGCCACCTGGGGTCCTTACCTTTCTTTTCTCCAGTGAAGGGCACAAAGTCTTCCCTGTCTTTCTGTTCTAAAGCCTCCTTCTCCAGGTACATGAGGAGATGCTCGCGGTCAAATGGGCCCGTGGCTGCTTTCTGCGTCTGGTCCTTCTGTCGGAATCCAGCCGGCAGCAGTGCACTCTGTCAATATAGAGGTGTGAGCAGGAAGGAAGATGTCTGCCTGAATGATACCCTGTTACCCTCCTCCCCGGCTGTATATGCGGGAAGCATGGAGAAGGATACCTGTGCAGTGACGTGGGGATGTGGGTGTGAGCTGAGGGTGGATGTCCCTGGCATATCTGAGGCCCTACTTGCTCTGTGTTGAGATGAGGGCTCCCAATGAGTGCAGGCAGAATATCGATGGCTGGAGCAGCCCCTGGGTCTTCTGCAGTGATGACAAAAGGCCCGCCACCCTTCATGGCCTCTTTCCTTACAGATCCTTGGCCAAATCTGCACCCATGGTTCTCCCAGGCAGGCATATGAAGGCTCTAAGAAGGAACCAATGCGACTACACTCTCTTATTTCTAACCCCTCTTCTGGGGAAACATCCAAGCAGGTATACGTAAATATTATGGTAGATGTTGATATCTGCTTGATTAAACTTAGAGACTCCTTCCTTAAGTTTAAAAAATAAAAACAGAATTTTAAAAAGTAAATACAATATTCGAAGTATCTGGCATATCAGAATATCATATAAATAACTTCAGTGACATAATTATTTATAGTAAAATCATTTTGGATGCCTCTGATCCTAAATTTAAGATAATACCAGCAGGGCTGAAGAAAGTGTTTGTTAAATGAACACTATAACGAGTTACTTAGCTTTTCAAGAGCTCATAAAAATATTAGAATCTCCATTTACAGTTATCTGATATTTTGGTTTGAGTTATTCTACCTATTGTGGGATCACCAAAGGTTTCAAGTTCTTTATACATTTTAAAGAAATGATATATAAAAGATCTGCTTTTGGAGTTAAAGACCTGGTTTAAATACCATCTCTGACATTTACTAGTAGGGGATCTTAAGTAAATTAGTACTCCTAGTCTGTCCCCTCATTTATGAAATGGGATAATATCATTTACCTCAGGGGCTTCTGTGCCCAGCAGAAAGCGTGACTCAGAAGAAACTGGTAAGATTTGTTCTTTTTCCCTCTTTCTTTTCTTCCCATTTACATTAAATTGGTTTTTGAGAAATAGATTTGCCATATCCTATTATAGATGTGGCTAAGGAGGTTCTCAAGAATTTGTAAAAGTGACCCAGAACCTATCAGAGGAAGAACACAGAATTTGCCTTTGGCGCTGAGGGCCTTCTACACTATTGTTTAAGGACCACGCCATGCCATTTATCCCATGCTATCATTAACCATACTGCTTCAGTTCCACGTCACTAACCTCAGGATCTAGGTCATCGAGAACATTTTCCAAGTGTTTCAGTTCCTCTTCTGAGAGTTTGCCAAGAAGCTCATCTTCATCAATGTTCTTGTATTTCTCCAACTCTTTTTGAAAAGGGAGTGCCATGGTTTCTTATATGCCTTTCTCATGGGCCATGAACATTTAAACAAGTCCGCTTCCTGAGACTTCAGAATACTACTAATAAGAAAAAAAAAAACAGTTATCTCCTTTCTGTAAACAAGACTTATTAACAAGAAACACGGCTGCCGATGGGTCTCTCTACTGGATGAAAAACTCAACAAAAAAGGTAATGTTACCTTCATTTGCAGAGCAATCCGACCACCTACAAAGTGTTTCCATATATATTATTTCACTTATTTAGATCTTTACAACAACCTGGAAAGGAAGCCTGGACAGATATTAATAACCCATTTTACAGATGAAGATTCTGAGGTGAAAGTGGCTAAGTGCTTTGCTTAAGGCCCCAGTGCTGGGATGTGCCAGGCCTTCTGATTCCGTGTAGTGAGTGCCTTTCCACCATACTACTCTGCCTCCTCCAGCCTTTCCCAGAAAACAGTGAGGAACAATGCGCTAATTGTAAGGCAGTTGCAAGAAGCACACTTGTGTCTTTTGAGAGGGAGGGATGTGAAGAATACAAAATGGGGTTCATTCAGTAAAGAGTTTGGAACATCCGTGTGAGAAAGCATTGTCCAGTAACTCTCCTGCCATTAAACAAAGTAAGATTCTAAAATTCTGGCTGCATGGTCGCTCTCTCTACTCTTCTCTCTTTTCTTCTTTCCTCCTCTCCCACTCTCTTTCTAGTCCCATTTCTCTATTGTTTCCTGAGCCATCCTCACTAATTCTTTATACCCCTTGTCCATTCTCCTTTCAACCCTCCTTTTTTATACTACCTTACTCCTAAACTTCCATTCAAAATGAAATTTTTACTCACTCCCTTCTTTCTTGCAGAGGATTTTACAGATTTTTCCTAGAAAGATCTTCCCTAGAAGATAATAATGCATTCAGGAAATAGCAATGTACTTAGCTGGTTGTGTTTCTCCTTAGGAGGTATAATATCAATCAGATCTTTTGAGGCAATTATTATTTGCTATATACCCACTAATTGCCAGGGAGAGTTCTAGAAAACAGGAATAGAAAGACAAACGAGATATGACCTCTTCCTCAAAGAGATGACAGCTCATTGAGACACAAAAATAGGATAACACCCCTGATAAGTGTTATAACAGAAGTAATAAATAAAAGAAGCTTAAAACACATGAAGAAATAATCATTGGATAAGGGGGCAGGGCTTGAGGGGACACTGAAAAACAGGTTGAGTTTGAGACTTAAAGAGGTCATAGATATGGGTCATTCTAGGAAAAAGGAACAGCATAAACACATGCACAAAGATAAGAAAGTACATGATAAGTTGGTGGATGCTTGGTGTGGCTAGATGGGAGGGTTGTGAGGAGGGGAGAGAAAAGAACTAAAGACATCACTGAAGGGTCTTCCCTATATGCCTTGCCAAGGAACCTGGGCTATTTTCTGTTGGGTGATAAGGAGCCACTACAAATTTTTAAGTAGGAATGAAGAACAGGTTGCCATGGAAAAAACATTGTTCTCCTTTCTTTACTAATTCAATTGCTTACCATGTACAACTTTGTGGTGTTCTACTTAGGTTTCCTTTCTATATACAATGTAACTCTTTCTCTTCTAGAAATTTTAGTTTTTTCAAAAATTTTTTTAATTGGTGGTAGAGGAGATATTATGTGGAAAAAAAACCAGACACTGATGACTTTGAGTCAAAAGTGATTCAAAAAGTTGGAATCTGAACATGAAGAAGTTTTAATATTAATGAATTATTTCACTTATATTTTCCCTTTTTATGTTTGCACAGGGGAGATATATTATTTTTAAAATCTGTGTATACTCATAGCAGCTTTTTTGTAATAGCCAAAAATTGTAAACAACTTGAATGATCATTAGATGGTGGACGGATAAACAAATTGTGCTATAGCCACACAATGGAATCTACTCAGAAATACATAAATAAAAAGAAATGAACTATTGATAGACACAATGATGTAGATGAACCTCAAAATAATTATACTGAATGAAAGAAGCTAGACCAAACAGAATGTATATGGTATAATTCCATTTATCTAAAATTATAGAAAATATAAGCTGATCTGTATGACAGAAAGCAAATTAGTAGTTTCTTAGGGATCAAAGACGGGTAGGAAGAGACAGAGAGAGGGATTATGAAGGGGCATGAGGAAACCTGGGGGTTATGCATATGTTCACCACCTTGATTGTAGTGATGGTTTCACAGATGCATGCATGTCAAAATTTAATCAAACTGTATACTTTAAACAAATGCAATTTATTGCATGTCAATTAAAAGACTTCAAAAAAAATCAATGTGTACATCTAATACACATTGTAAAGTAAAAATTATATATTTAAAAATTATAAAAAATTATAAAAAATTATATATTTAAAAATTATATTTAAA